ACTCTTAGCTCATCAATTCTATTACTTGTCAATGATCTCGTACGCTTGTGGGTTTTGCACGAACGTTTGACATTGGCCAATTTGATCCAATAAACCCGTGTTTTACTCTATATGAGTAACATACACAACATAATGCTATCCCAAAAGAAGCAATGTATTACTAATTACATGAACATGTTTGGCCAAACTTAAAAGTAACTTAGTTCTACTTTGAAGTAAAAGTAAAAACATTGGAAACAAAAGTTATTTATTTTAAAAATTATTTACTTGCAAGTAAAATATTTTTAGTTTAGCCACACATAATATCAACATCAAACTCATGAGATGGAATTTTTTGATGCCTCCATCCATGGGTTTCCTCGAAGACGAGCGCCCGTAATAATGGAAAGACCATGGGGTTGATCCGGTTCATAAATTTGAAAGATGGTTTGGCTAGGTATTGGATCATATTTTTAGATTGACTGCTTCAAGTCCCCTACTTAGTAAGTTGAAGACTACATGCATGTGGATCATCTCGACTAGATCACTCATAAATTCCTACACATTACCACTTAGGAGTAGTGTTTGAAAGCTGCAATCTGAGTTTGTGGGCTGGAGAAAACGTCTCACCTACGGGCAATGTGGGAAAAAAAAGGCGATCAATTACATGCTGACCGCCTAAGATTCATCTAGGGATGGCAAAAAACCCCGCCCCACCCCGATGGGCTGATGGGGACGGGGTGAGGCATAATTTACCGCCCTGTCTCGGGTCACGGGGCGCCCCGCCCCAAACATGCCCCTTGAATATAAAAAAATAAATAAAAAAATTGAAGAATTTTTTTTACAGCCCAACGGCCATTCAATTTTTTCTGCTTCCCCTTCTTAGACTCGTTGCCATGCCTTTTCCATTGGCCATTATAATATCCTGTGCACAAAAACAGTAAGGCCAAGCGAGCATGAAGTTGGTTTATATAAAAAAAATTCCCAGGTTTCATTCAGTTGGATTAATTTGGATGGTCGGTCAAGTTATTGTCAATTTTTCTGTGGACTGACGTCTTAAGACATTTCATTATACTGCTATTTATCAAAGGATTTACCGATTCTAGTTAATAAGGAAATGTGAATAATCTCATAGTTTCTTGACAAAACTTAGTAAATATAAAAATGATATTAGCTGCATCAGAAGCTCGTTTTGGCTATTTAGTTAGATGTTTCTATAATTCTTCATTTAGTACTTCTTTATTTCTATAAAAATTGCATGCTTGCGCTATAAATCCCCTTCTTCGTATTGCTTACTCGGTGTTATTATCATGTTTCTGAACTTAAAAAGGCTTGGATTAACCCAGAAATTTACTGCAAAATTCTTGGCCGTAACTGAGTGAGATTTATTTTGTTTAAATTTTGCTGGCTAGCAGTTCTGAAGATTTAAGGATTGATGTTTCTGTTATGGACTTACATTTAAGGTCCCCTCATCAGCGGCTATCTTCAGATTTGAAAATGTGTAAAAATAAAAAAATAAAAAAAATTAAATAGAACAACAAACGGGGCAAAAAGCTGCCCGGGGCGTGGGGCGAGGCGGCATTTGGACGAGACAGGGCGGGGTGGGGTGACCCCCCTGCCCCGAATCCGCCCCGTTGCCATCCTTGGATTCATCTAGGAAGAAAAAGGTGCACGCCTTTTTATTTGACGGATAGCTTTTTTTATTTTTCAATCGAGACCTAGAAAGAGCAGAATTCTTATTAAAGCTTTAAAAAGAAAATAAGCCTAAAAAATCCAACCTAACCTAAACCAGCTCACAAACAGTCCGAGAGTATGTCCCAAATAAGAGCATTTGTGCTTTTAAACAAAATCAAAGCATTCATCTTTCTCCGTCTTGTTTATCGGTCTAGTCCTGTTTATGTTTCAAATCTTTTGCGACTTTCGATTTGTCAAGGACAAATGGTTAAAAGAAGTTTAAACTATGTTCTATTTATAGGAAATAACTACTAAGTAATAGTAGTATTTATGATTTAGGCCCGTTTGATTGCACGAAATTTTTCATGAAATTTGGAATTTGAATTCCAACTTCCACTTTTGACCTGTTTGATTGACAAAATTTTCTAAAGAATTGATTTTCCATGAATTTCTAGATACAACACCTTAAAGCGTGATTTTCCACCTTTTATTTTCCTAGGGGTAGGTGATTTTTGATTTTCCAACTTTTTTTTTTTTTATTTATTGTTGGCAATGAGAACAAATCTAGGAACAATTGTAAAAGAGGATATTCCTGAAATTGACAATTTTCATGTAAAACAAAGCCAAACGAACACCAAAATATAGATGATTTTTTTTTTTTCCTTTTTTTTTGGTTGGCAATGTAAACAAATTCTAGGAACAATGGTATAAATTGATATCCTTTAAATTGACAATTTTCATGTAAAACAAAGTCAAACGAACACCAAAAAATACCTTTACTTCAACATTTTTCACGTGGAAAATTATACCAATCAAAAACAATAATTTACAATTCTCAGAAAAACAATTTCTAGGTAATTCAATTCTCTAGAATTTATTTTCTTTCCCCCCAACTTTCATTTTTACAATCAAACAGACCCTTAGATAATTATATTTTGGTTAGAAACTTGAGAAGTATGCATAAAGTTTTTATAAAGGGTAATTGGCGCAAAACGTCCTTACCTTTCAAGATTATTGTGGAAAATATCTCTACCTTTCATTTTTGACATTTTTGCCATTATTTAACATTTCGTTGCGCAGAAAGTCCTTTTCACTGTTTTGGACCGTAAAATGACCAATGTACCTTCATATTTAAATAAAACAATAAAGAAAAATAAAGAACAAATTACAACAATAGGCCCAAATTTTTTAAAAAGTGCAAATCAGCCCAAAAATCTTATTAAACCATTAAAAATGAAAAAAAAAGAAAGAAAAAAGAAAAAAGAAATTCTCTCTCTCCTCTCCCCTCAACCTTCGATGATGATTGAAAGCAAATTATTTATGTTATTCAAAATAAGGAAAAAAATGAAACAAGTATTACTGTAATATCATATGAAATCAGTGGTAATTAATTGTGTCCAACTCCATAAATACATAGCTCCAGCCACATTCACGAAAGTCTCTGAAAAATCCGAATTATATTGCGTTTCAAATTTTTCTAGGGTTTCATCTCTTCCTCAACAAAGCCACAAGAATTACTCTGACCCATCCCGATGCGGGGCAAACTTTCTGCCTAGTAACCGCCCTGCAGACCCAATTAATCGCGATTCCTTGCCCATTGCCATCCTAGAGTCGCTACCTGGGATTAAATTGACAATCCCAGAGCCTCAATTTCACAAAATCATTCTCCAATGATTCGTTTCCTGATTTTTGGAACCAGAATTTCCGATCCTCGGGTGTTGTACGGTGACCCAAGTACTCCTTTAGTTCTTGCTCAAGATTAATAGGTCTGAAAAGAAAACTAAACATATTAAATATTGAAGTTTCTACCCTTACAAATTATGGAATCATAGCATAGACTTGGATAATTCCATTTTGAGATAGTTGAAAAAACCCCTCTTTTCTATGCATGGACTTTCTCAATGCATATTTCCATAGACAATGTTATTTGATCTTTATGGATGATAAATATTTCTTAGCACATGGATTGTGAAAAAAGAAAAAAAGAAAAAAAAAAAACACACACACACACACACACAAAGCCACAAGAATTAATTTTTCCGTAAGCATTGTTTAAAATTGCAGAAAACTTATGGAATTGCTATGTGTATAAATGATTTTCAGATTTTTGTGTTGTTTTTGCTATTTGTAGGAATTATTGGAGTTGGACGTCAATTGTGATTTCTGGGGATTATTGGTTCATAAAGTTTGAATCTTGTTAATGTAAGTATGGGTTTCTGGGGATTATAGGAGGTGGAGGGGAGAGGAGATAGTTGTTTTTTTTTTTTTTTTTAATGGTTTAATAAGATTTTTGGACTGATTTGCACTTTTAAAAAGTTTGGGCCTATTGTTGCAATTTGTTCTTTATTTTTCTTTTCTTTTCTTTATTGTTTTATTTAAATATGAAAATATATTGGTAATTTTACTTTCCAAAATAGTGAAAAGGACTTTCAGCACAACGAAAGGCTGAAATAAGAGCAAAAATGCCAAAAAATGAAAAATAGAAACGTTTTCCATAATAACCTCGAAAGGTAGGGACATTTTGCATCAATTACCCTTTTTATAAATTATCAATGTATTCGTTTGTATTTTTACTTATTGGTCTAGAATAATTAAATATAAGCAAACGTTTTATTATCATACCAAGGCTTTACCCAAACTAGTAAAGCTTGTGGTTTGACATCTACGCCTAACCATGTCTCATGCCTTTAGAACCTTATTCATACCTGAGTTCCAATTCAATTATTTTTCTGTTTGATTTCAAAACGATTAGAAATGTTTTTTTTTTTTTTTTTTTTTTTTTTTTTTAAAAAAAAAAAATTTTTTTTAGTCCATTTTTTTTTCT